GCTGGATACTACCTTTAACTGTGGGAATGACCAGCTGTCCATATCTGTTAGGCATTACATGTTGGGTATATAAACATTGTTTGCGCATTCTTTAGGGCATATTTTGATGCAGCAAAAACTCTTGCATTTTGCTATCTTAAAACGCATGTTACCGTAAGTAGAAATCTAATTCTTTCCTCTGACTGGTTTACATCTATGCACTGCAGTTTAGTGTGAAAGGGAATAGAAACTCTATGGGCCCATTCACATGCTACATGCACACCAGGGATGCAGCCACAGGGGCATTTCTAGGAATACTGTGCTGCTGATGTAGGGAATAGTGAGATTACTTTTTAGAGGCAGCACTGCGCCAAGGTTGGGGCCGCAGGGATATTTCAAGGAACAGTAATTGCAATGAAATTTGCAAAGGCATGACTGTACCGGCAAGTACTGATAGGGTGAGTGGGATATTTCTAGGAACACTCTCGTAGGGAATGGGAATGGTATTTTTAGTGGCATGGCTGTGCCAGCAAAGGGGCCAGTGGGACATTTCCAAGAACACTGTGGTGCTGCTGTAGGTAATGGCCATGACATATAGAGGCATGGCTGTGGCAAGAAGGGGGCCACCGAGCACATCTCCAGGAACACTGGTGCTGATGAAGGGAGTATCTATATTTGTGAAGGCAGCCCTGCACTGTGGATTGGGCCACAGGAACATATTTCAGGAACACCATGAAGCTGAAAAGTGTGCAAGCCAATTAAAGATGGTCTTTAGATTTTGTTACACATGGGCACACTTCATTTGCCTCTTCCACCATTTTGCCATTCAATCAATAAGTACATTTTTGCAAATTTTCCATAAATATTTCACAAGACAAACTTATTTTCAGTGTATTGTATTTGATAATAAACAAGGAAAATAAATATATACACTTCAAAGGATCAAAACTTTAAAAAAAAATTCAAGTTTCTTTCAATTCGTTTGCATACACATTACACATCTGGCACCATTAAGCAGCAATTTGATCTTGTTAAGTGAAAACTGTTTATGTATTCAACTTTCAGCCAGGTGGATAACAATTGTGACCATTGGGTGAAAACTAATTATTAGAACCATTTATGCATTTTGTTAGTAGCCATACATTATAATGCAGAACATGAGACATGAATAGCTGATGTGTCAAGGTGACAAGTTTCCTATTTAAGCATAAAGGTGAATCTGCCACTTTGGAAGCGCCATAAAACGGGTTACATGGTTATTGGTTTGCTATAAAACTTGGTACATGGTTACTGGGTAAAGGGTAAGCAGACTTTTACATAACGTCCCCATTCCTTTCTCAGTTACAGAGGAATAGTGACCTTCTCACCGCCATACCCTGTCTGGGGCAGTGCTGCTTTTATATCCCGTGAGCGCTATAGCTATGAAGTGCGCTGTGTGCCGAGCCCCTCAGAGGGACCGAGCAGAAAAGAAAAATAGTTTTAAAAAAAGTACAAAAAAATAAATAGAAACCGATTGTGCGGAGCTAGCAGTGACAGCTAGCTCCGCCCAACTGTTTTCTATTGTCCGGCAGTTCTGCTGCCGTCAAAAAAAAGAAAAGAAAAACATTTACGCCATAGGAATGCATTGCTAGATTCCTATTGGCTATTTCAATTTGCAAGAGCCAATAGCAAGCTAGCTATTGCACCCGCCCTCTGCTGCTGTGAATCACTAGTGGGGACCTGATGGAGAACTGCAGCAGTGGGCGGGTGCTATAGCTAGTTTGCTATTGCAAATTGAAATAGCCAATAGGAATCTAATAAGGCATTCCTATGGTGACAAATTTTTTTTTATTCTGACGCCAGCCAATGGCTCTGATCAGAATAAAAAAGAAAAAGCATTGTTTCTCTCCTGGGCGGCCGGGAGCGGGAGACTCCCGGAGCGCCCGGGAGAGTTAGGCTGTTTGGAGATCAGTGTCCCTGGTTAGCTGGTAACCAGGGACGCTGATCTCTCTGCAAGTGGCCGGAGCCAGCTGTAAGATCACGGCTGGCTCCGCCCAGCTGTCAGAAGCAGGCTGGCTCAGCCAGCTTCGGCTTTCACCTCGGCTCAGTCGAGCCGTGGCATATGCGTTCGGCTCGACTGAGCCGCCAGGCCAACTTCGGGAGCTGTATGGGCTATTGTGAATAGCCCGTATAGCAGCCCTTCGGTTCTCCTGAACCGAAGGGGTCCTGGGGCCGAAGCTAGCCGAAGGATCAGCCGAAACTACGGCTAGATCCTTCGGCTGCTTCGTGAATAGACCCCTTAGTATAGGGTTCTTACAGATCATTCGTTAGAGAAAAGCAACGATTTAAAGGAAATACACAGGCTGCCAGCACTGTCCTTGGCTTCTGAAAATGCCCACTGCCTGGCCTGTCTGTGAATAGGATTCAATACTTTAAGATGGATTGACAGGCTGCGCCCCAACCCACCATGCCCATGCACTACAATGAAGCAATGCCTTTTCTTGTGTTAGGTATCTAATTCAAATAATGGGCTGCCTTAACCCAACATGTATTAATGTGTGTGGTTAACACACTGCAAAGACGTATATGGGTCCTGAGCCACTGCATTATTCAGGCGTTTTCTCTGACTTCACTTGGAGTTTTCTCTGACACACAGGAGTTTTCTCTGACTTCACTTGCTGCACTTGTCCTGGATCAGTGACTCTGCAGGAAACGTGTACATAGAGAGACCTATAGGCTACAATTGCTGACCTTCTTATGAAAAATGGTCTCTTCAATACATGCAGTGTAGAAGTCAGCTTATTAATGTAGAACATGACAAGTGCTCTATAAAAACTGCACAGTTTTCCTAGAACGTATGGACTGTTTTTACTCGAGGTGCATTACAGTGCTATGAATGGGAAAATGTCTAAGATTCTTACAAGAATATAGCAGTTTGTTTAGTTTACAGAAGGTCTAGAAGCCGTCTACAGTTGCTCTTCGACCCATGTATCACACATAAATGCAAAGAAGGTAAAATACAACATACAGCTTATCAGTTTTCACGGATGTTGTCCTTTCCTCTGAAAACAACAGTGCTATGTACTGTTCAGCCATGGATCATTGGTCCCCCAACCATTGCTCTGCTAACCACATGAGGCCCTCAGCAAGTACATAAATATGAAAGTAAACCTGCCTTAAAAGAGAACTATGGGGTAAGTGTTTTTCCCCATAGTTCTCTTTAGGGTCACGGGAGGACATATACTAACCACCTGCCGTGACCCAAAGCTCAGTATATCGCAAGCTATTGCTCACAATATACTGAGAGTGTCGCAGCCGGGACGGATCCTGACAGTACTGTCGAAATCCATCCATCTGTGTAAGTGACAGCTGGCTCTGCCCATCTACAGGCAGAGCCCGCCCCCCCTCCTCCGATCGTTCCTCCACTCAGCGCTGAAGGATCGGAGAGGGGAATCCCGGCGGTGACTGACAGCCATTGTTCACTGCAGGGAGACGATCAGGAAGTGAGCGGATCGGCGGCATGTTTCTGCTCACTTCCCGATCAATAAAGCCGACCTGTGGCAGTCTCATTGTCACATGTCGGCTCCAACTATGAGGATGAGTGGAAATAACTCACCTCATAGCTCTCCTTTAAGAGAATTACAGGGGCTGCAATTCTTGATCTCTTCCTGAACATGCTAGTTACTGTCATGATGATGATGCAACAGCTTGAATACTTGGAGTTGCTGACCTGTAACAAGTATGTACATAGAGAGTTTCTGTTCTAGGTCAGTGACTTTGAAAGTAATAAAGCCAGAACTTGCCAGGCAACTAGCAATTTCAAGAGGTATGTGACACGTAAAGTCTTTCTCTCATGACAGAAGTCAGGTAGAGGATTATTGATACCATTTAAATGATGGCTATTATTACCAAAAGGGGTTATAAATGAATTTTTTTTTACAGACTTTAGCTAGCAACTGGTTTGTATTGTGCGTTTGTACTTTGTATATACATATTGTATTGTTTGCATATACATATTGGAGTCATCTCTATGATACTTTTTTTTAAATGTTTGCACTAACCATTACATCTTCATGGATAAGCTTTCGGGATCTACCATCTCTTTCTAAGGTCCAAGCTGTACTACTGCAAAGAAAGCTTTGGGTAGTTCACTCCAATGACATTTACACAAAACTGTTATCACTTTGGACGGACACAGCAAAGTCGCCGCAGAATTCCAAGTGTGCTCAATTTTTGTCAACAGGTAATCGTTTCCCACCCCGAGTTTAGTCCTAAAATCTTTTGAATAATTGCTGCCTTCCCCTATAATGTACCAGACTGTGTTAGAATACAATACTTCAATATAGAGTTGTGCTTCTATAAATAGACTGATTTGTTGGAGGAAAAATACAACAGCTGTCTGAAGTGCCATGCATAATGTTGCTGTTACCAGGTTTCTTTTCATACTATGGGTATGAGAGAGGCCTTATATACAGGTTTCAGTAAGGTCAACAGACTCCCTGAAACAAAGGTGGAAGTGTTAGTGTTGCCCATAGCAACCAGATTCCAGGTCAGTTTAGTAGTATGGGTTAAAAAGTGACAGTTGGACACTGACTGACACAAACTTATTTCCTCTGGTTTTCCTAAAATAACAAAAAGATCTAATATTCCTTTAAAATAACGTTAAGCTGTAATTATTCCAACAATGTTTTATGTATTGCAATCCTTATCCCCATGGAGATTTAATTTATGCCCTCTTAAACGTCTCTTGATTCCTGCAATATGTAACGGCCCATCACATCATCTAACAACCATATATTATGCAGTAACCACCTGACCATTCGTTTTACAGCAAACAATTGCCATGTCTACTGTGTACCTCACTAGTAAATGATAGTTGCAAAAACTTTTGTCCAAAAGAAAATAAAAAAAACGATACTATTTTCAGGTGTTTTTTTTTTTTTTTTTAACCTTACAAGTCATAAAATCTAATCCATAAAAGCTGTAGGAATAAATGGGAAGCCTGGATCCCGTTACTAGGAAGAAGAGTGATTGATGTACTTACTGCACAAAGTTTATGTAGTAATAAACGTAGGCCTACCCAATACACAAGTGCTGACTGATCCCGTTTTGTAGTATACATACAAAGGATTAAAACCTACTGGGCTGATAAGTACCTATACATTGGTCTTCTGGGAAGATCTCATTTCAATGATCAGATCTGTCCAATTTCCCCCACCTTTGTCCATATATATGGAAAATAAGGCAGCTTTGTGCCTTTGATGAAGAGTCGGAGAAGATCCAGGGACAGCACAGGTGGAGTCTTTGGTTGAAAGCTCTTCAGTCAGTGCAATAAGTCTGGTGCCTTTTCATGTTGGTGTCTGACACAGATTTAGCTTACAGGTCAGAGATGGATGCTGGGATGACTCCTTTCTCAATTAAATGTGCCTTAAACACTTTGAAGATGCTCAGCTGCTGTTCAGGTTGTAGCACAAGAAGTTGCTGCAAGACTTTGCTGGGGTTAGGACCTCTAGAGATGGAAAAAAGAAACCAGATGCTGTATTAAGTAAGCAAGATTATGTTTACTAAAGGACATTGGCATTCAAATAAAGATGGAGTGGTTATAACTTGGCAATCCATGATCTCTGAAATGTTTTATCATTATTTCTTCCCAAGTCGTGTAACTGTATCCATACTTAACAATGTTTGGGTTCCAATAGTACTGTTAAAGGTTTTCCCAAGTATCAGCCACTAATATGGTTACAGCCAGGGGCGTAACTGCCACGAGGCAAACAAGGCGTTTGCCTTGGGCGACAGTTTTCAGGGGGGCGGCAAAAATGCAGCCCCCAAAACAGTTAGGCAGCCCGGCAGATGAGGTGGCGCGGAGGAGTCAAAAGACGCAGAGGAGTTGGTGGGGGCGAGGCCAGGACAATGTCGGATTAGGAAGGTGCAGGGCCAGGGGGCCGCCGCACCGTAGGAAGCCGCGTCACTGCTGCTAAAAAGGACCCTGTAGAGCCCAGCAATGATTCTGCACAGCCCACCTGAGAGTCTCAGGTGGGCTGTGCAGAATCTGTGGTGGGGTCTATGGCAGGC